TACTATTACTAATCGTCATAACATAAGATGATAATAGTACTACGACTAATAGCAAGACTTATACGGATACTAGTACTAGTAATCCATATTCGAATAATACTACGAATACTATTGATACTAGTAGAAATAATACGAGTATTATGAGCACCTTTAATAACTAATACGCGTAATCATGAGACGGCAACGAATGATGCTATTCAGAATATTGGTAACGATAAAAAACTCGGAGGAGGAGGAAGAGGAGGAGGATGACGAGGATGAGTAGCAGGAGTAGAAGAACCAGGAGCAGGAACAGGAGCAGGAGCAGGAACAGGAACAGGAACATGAACAAGAGCAGGAGCAGGAGCAGGATGATGATGATGATGATGATGATGATGATGATGATGATGATGATGATGATGATGATGATGGTGATGATGACGACGATGATGATGATGATGATGATGATGAGGAGGAGGAGGAGGAGGAGGAGGAGGAGGAGGAGGGAGGAGGAGGAGGAGGGAGGCGGCGGCGGCGGACGAGGAGGAGGAGGAAAAGGAGGAGGAAGAGGAGGAGGATCCTCCTTCGTCGTCCTCCTCCTTCCTCCTTCCCTTCGCGCCCACGCGCGCTTCCGCGAGTGCGGGGGCGCGCGCTGGGTCAGAGTTGGGGACGGATGGATGAGGATGACGAGGGCGACGACAGCGAAGACGACACGACGATGCCGACGACGACGACGACGAAAACTGCGACGACCGTGATGTCGACGTTTACGACGACGACGGCGTTGATGTTGACGACGACGTTGACGTTCACGTTGGCGTTGGCGACGACGACGACGAGGACGACGACGACGTTGACGACGACGACGGTCGCGACGACGACCTGGCAGCGCGGTGGCAGGTCTTCGCCGGTGGTTCGATGCTGGAGCGCCCTGCGGGGCAGTTCATCATCTCGGAGAAACCTCCCCCAGGCGCGCCCCCACCCCTTTCACTCTTCCTCTTCCTGTCCCCTCCCTTTCTCTCCACTCCTTCTTCTTCCCGCCTTCGTCGATGAGGGAGGAGGAGGAAGAAGAGGAGGAGGAGGAGGAAAAGGAGGAGGAGGAGGGGGAAGAGGAGGAGCAGGAGGAGGAGGAGGAGGAGGAGAGAGAGGAGGGGGATGAGGAGGAGGAGGAGCAAGAGGAGGAGGAACAGGAGGAGGAGGAGGAGGAGGAGGAGGAGGAGGAGGAGGAAGGTAGGAGGAGGAGGAGGGGAAGAGGAGGAGGAGGAAGACGAGGAGGGGGAGGGGGAGGAGGAGGAAGAGGAGGAGGAAGAGGGAAGAGGAGGGGAGGAGGAGGAGACTCCGTAGCCAGTATGGTTCAAGGCTGTTTTCGGGGAGCTCGTATCCTGCGCGCGTGTTGGAGGGACGGCCTCAGCCCTGTGGCCGCGCTGCGGCCGTGCGGGCGCTAGCAACCATGATGCAACAACGGTCTTGGCACGGCGCTCTCCCCCACCGTGTGCAGCCGATAAGTCTAGTAGACACAAGATCATGGACCAGGCAGGCCCGCTTCGCCCGCCATGCTAAGCGGCAGGCGGCCTGGCAGGCAGCGGCAACCAGGTTGCATGAATAGGGGGGTGCGTCGACAAGCTGCAGGCAGAGCTTCGAGAGTGGCGGATTTGGTGGGCTCATCAGAAACGGCCAGATCAAGAACCGCAGCAGCGGCAGCAGCAGAGGCCGCACCAAAAATGGCGGTGGGGGGAGCACGGAAGAACCCTTCTGGGGGCAACGCTGGATGCCAGCCAGGGGAGAAGGCACATACCAGAACCAGAGCGTGCGAGAAGCGACGTCAGAACCAACGCGTGCGAGAAACCGGGCGCATCCACCTGCTAGACGCAGAGCGTGCCAGAAACCACCAGCGGCAGAAACCCTGTGTCAGCAGCTGTGCGAGAAGTGTCGGTAGCCCTCAGCTACATGTGTGTGTGTGTGTGTGTGTGTATCCGTCTGTGCGAGAAAAGTCGGTTGTGGCAGCTTGCGGAGGAGAGACAGTAACCTGACGTCCTAAGTTACGGGCGTGAGACCGCACGCGCGAGAACAGGCGGCGATGCTAGCGGACCAAACCCTTACGTCATCAGCTGCAGACGTGAGTATGTGCGTGCGAGAAGGTTCAGCAATGACAGTGACCAGTGGCCAATTCAACAAAAACCATGCACTATGAGCTATAGGCGCGGGCCCGCGTGTGCGAGAAGAGTTGGCGGTGGCAGCGGTTAGTGGCGAGAGTGACAGAAACCAAACGTCATCAGCGACATGCGAGCCCGAATGTGCGAAATGAGCTGGCCGTGTCGGGCGCCGATGCCCTCGAGATAGCAAAACGTGCGTGCGAGGTCGTCCTGGCGAGGCGCCAGACAATCGCACGCCGTCAGAGAACAGGAAAGCTGGCAGTTGCAGCGAACGGCGGTGAGGAGGAAAAGGAGGGGGAGGAGGCGGAGGAGGAGGAGGATGAGGAGGAGGAGGAGGAAAAGGAGGAGGAGGAGGAGGAAGAAAAGGAGGAGGAGGGAGGAAGGAGGGGGAGGAGGAGGAGGAGGAGGAGGAGGAGGAGGAGGAGGAGGAGGAGGAGGACGAGGAAAAAGAAGACCAAAAGGAGGAGTGCCAGGCGGTTTCAGCTTCGTGCGCGGTAGCAGTGGCAACGCGCAGCGCGGCAGCAGAGCGAGGAAGGCGGGCAGCGGTGCGGGAGAGGCCCGCGGTGGCGTGAAAAAGGCTGGCAGTGGTGCGAGGAGGGCCAGCCGTGGTACGAGAAAGGCCGGCAGTGATGCGAGAAGGGCTGGCAGTGGTTCCCCAGCTCGAACGAGCCAAACAATTACACCCGCACGCTGTTTGAGTATGTGGTGAGGATGGAACGCGCTTTTTTTCTGATCGACCAGTCTTTCGTGCTCGCCTGAGCCGCGCCGGCGCACCTTCGGGCGTATGGTGCACCGCGCCGGCATTGGTTCGAGAAGGCAGGGCAGTTGTGGTGCGAGACGGTCTGGCACAGGTGCGAGACGGGCCGGCAATGGCAGCGTCGTCAGCGGGCAAAGGTGGCACCGCGAAACACGAGCCCGGCGTCCTCATTCATGGCGGAAGGAGCGCGCAGCACGAACCTGACGACATCAGCTACGTAGGCGGCGCAGCGAAGCGAGAGCATGATGCTATCAGATACGAGGGCCATGTCGCGGCGCATGAACCCAGTGCCGTCAGCTACGAGGGTGACGTAGCTACAAGCTGGGGCCCTCACGAGCCCGACACCATCCATTGCGAAAGTGATGCTGCACAGCACGGTCCCAGCGGCGCCGCCCGCGGGGCTGGGGACGCGAAACATGATCTCGATGCCATCAGCTACGAGGGCGGCGCGGCGGAGCACGAGCCCGATCCCATCAGCAACGAAGACGGAGGTAAGGCGAAACATGAAACCTATGCAATCATCTGTGACGTTAGAAGACCAAGCGCGCCGTTTCGAATTGGACGCGGGCGCCTTGCGGCAGGTGGTCGCTAACGGTGACGCCGCGGGCTTGGCCTACTGGCTGTGAGACCCAGCCTGGTGTGGCCTGCTGGCTCCTGGCGCCCCGCGCCGTCTCCCAGCGAACGTTTGCATATTCGCTGTCGAGCGTGGCCGCCGAGATACCGCGCGCGCGCTCGTCGCCGAGACAGGGAGCTCAGCCGACGCAGGAGGCGGTGGATTACGAGAACGACGCCTCCTGCAGCGAAAAAGAATTGCAGTGGCAGCTCAGGAGAGCCAGTGGCAGCGCGCAAAGGGACGGCGGTGGCAGCTCAGCGGCAGTGGCAGCCGGTGCGCTTTGCGAGAGGGACCAGAAGTGGCATGTCGTCTGCGCGAGAGGGGGCGGCAGTGGCAGCGGCGGCGCAACGAGAGAGGGGGCGGCAGGGGCTGGGCGGCGCGCGGGTCGCGACGAGGTCGAGGCGAGCGGCGGGGCGCCCGGGGGGCGCTGTGAGTCGGGGGGGGGGGCGCCGAGAGGACGCTGAGAGCTCGAAAACTACATCAGTTACAGGCGCGGGCCAGCGTTTGCGAGGAAATCCAGCGCTGGCTGCCGATGCGCCATCGACGGGGCCGCCCCGGCCAAATTTACTTGTTTTATGTTGGCGCTGGGCTTTCCAAGGCTCCCTCTCTCGTGCCTTCTGCCTTCTGCCTTCTGCCTTCTGCTGTCTGGCTTCTGCCCTCTGCCCTCTGCCCTCTGCCCTCTGCCTGCTGCCTTCTGCCTGCTACCTTCTGCCTTCTGCCTTCTGTCTTCTGCCTTCTGCCTCCTGTCTTCTGCCTTCTGCCCTCGGCCTTCTGCCTCCTGCCTCCTGCCTCCTGCCTCCTGCCTCCTGCCTCCTGCCTCCCTCTCTCTCTCTCTATCTTTTTTTTGTTTTTTTGTTTTCCCCTCTCTCTCTCTATCTCCCTCTCTCCCTTCCTCTCTCTCTCTCTCTCTCTCTCTCTCTTTTTTTGTCTCTCTCTCTCTCTTTCTTTTTCTTTCTCTCTCTCTCTCTCTTCCTCTCTCTCTATCTTTTTTTTTGGTTGTTCTGTCTCTCTCTCTCTCTATCTCCCTCCTCTCTGTCTCTCTCTGTCTCTCTCTCTGTCTCTCTCTCTGTCTCTCTCTGTCTCTCTCTGTCCCTCTCTCTATCTCTCTCTGTCCCTCTCTGTCTCTCTCTCTCTGTCTTTCTCTGTCTCTGTCTCTGTCTGTCTCTGTCTCTGTCTCTGTCTCTGTCTCTGTCTCTGGCTCTGTCTCTGTGTCTGTGTCTGTGTCTGTCTCTGTCTCTGTCTCTGTCTCTGTCTCTCTCCCTCTCTCTCTCTCTCTGTCTCTTCTCTCGTTCTCCCACTGCCCCGCTGGGGGCTCAGGCCTTCCTGGGTCGAACTGAGGGTCGGTCTCAGGCGGCCGGAGGCCGGCGGCTCTGGGGGCCCACTCCGGGGGCCCACGATATTCCAGTGGCCATTGGGGGCCGCCGCCGCCGGGCGGAGAGGGGCGGCCGGCCGTTGCGCGGCAGCGGCAGCGGCGACCGTCCGCCGCGCAGCGTTGCAGTCCACCCGCCTGCTCGCCGGGCTGGCGAGGTCGGGGGGGCAGCTGGGCCCGTCAGCTGGCCTGGCGGCGGGCTGCGGCTGGCGGTCGGTCTCGCTGGCGGCTCGCCGCTGGTCGACGCCCGCAGCCTGCCTGGCCGCCGTCGCGGGGGCGCAGTGCGGGAGCTCCTTGTTCTCGTGCGACGACTCGGAGATCCCCGTGGACTTTGAGGACGAGGTGCCTGGCGAGCTCGGGCCGCTGCTGGCGGGGGCTTCCCTGCTTGGCGAGCTCCCGGAGCCGCCGGCCCCCCAGAGGGGCGGCGGTGCCGATCGATCTTGCCCTCGCCTCGCATCCTTGAGCATTTTCTGGATCGGGGGCCGGGGCCCAGGGTCGGGACGATCGAACCTGGTTCTCTGGAGAGCCAAAGGTGTCGGGGGCTGGGCCTCCGAGACAGTCGAGGACCTCGGGGGCGCCTTCGCAAACCAGGAGGGAGCGGGGTGTCTCTTTAAGGGCGGAGGCTGGTTGTTCCACCTCGCGGATAACGGGGTCGCGTGTTGCTTCGGCGCGGCCTGGCCGTTCGTCGCCGGGCTGGGGCCCGCGCTAATCTTCGCGGGCGTCCTGGCAATGCCAGCGCGCGGCCTGCGCGCGCTCTTCGCCCCGTGCAACTGGTGCGTCTGGGTGATCGGCAGCGTCGCCGGCGTCTCCGGGAGCCCTCGGCGCTCCCCGGGCGAAGCAGGAGTGGGTGAGCCTCCGCCGCCGGCAGTGCCGCGTCGCACTCCTTGGTTCCGGGCGGGGCCCAGCGCGGGCGCCGCGACCGCCGCCGAGTGCTTCGCCGAGAAGATCAGGGGGCGTGGCGCGTGCTGTCGAGGAAACTTGGCCGCCGGGGCGCCACCTGCTGCCGCGGCGGCATCGTCTGCGCCGCCAGCTGCTCCCACTGCGACTCTCGGGGGAACTCCTCTGGGTGTGTGTGACAGATGCGCTGACTCCGACGCGATCTTCTTCATCGGTGAGGCAAGTTACCTTCGGGGTGACTTGGCGGACTTTCCCGAATCTGAGCATGCCCGCGAACTCTTCTACCCTGACAAGTGCCGCGACGTGCGCTGGAGACGCTTCGCGCGCAAGCCTGTGCGGCGATGCCGCAGGTTTATGGAGGTGACCCTGAAAGGGGGCGGTGGAGTAGGGCGAGGATGCCGCCGCCAGTACACAGGAAAAGGCGTTCCCGCTTACGTCGTGGCCCCCGGCGACAATCTTTGCGAGAAGCTATTCCCCCGTGGCCGCAGCGAAGGCCGCTGCAGAGTTTCTCGCCGTCGGTGGTGCTGAGCAGGCGAAGGGGAATGACGTTGCCGGGGCCCAGTCGACAAGGATGGCAATGTCAAGGCGCGCCACAACTGTGGGTCCATTCAACATCCTGTCCAAGATTGCACGAAACCCGCGGAACCGGGAGTTTCTTCGGGGCAAGCTGTGCCCACTGGCGCTGTTGAGTGTGGTTTTACCCGAGTGCAAACAACAGGAACAGCTCTACTTCGCGAAGGCAGCCGGATCGTATTTCTACATGGTTTTTGAACACAGCATGGAGCATTACAACTGCCACCAGCGGTGCTCCTTCGTCGGCTGGCTCGTAGGAGCGCGACCCCAGCGTCGCGAATCAGGCGATTTTGAGGCACTGGCGCCATCGTCCTTGGCACCCGACACCGAACGTGTGCATGGTATGGGATATCAGATCGTCGACGACCACGATGACGTGCCATATCCAGACGCGGCATCATTATCTCAACCAATACGCGGACCTGTTAAAACAATTTGCCCGAATTCACCACCGCGCGCAGGTGGGCCCGAATTCATGCATCTACGCTCTCGTGGCGTCTGGTTGCCAGTGCTACATCCGTGGGGTGCGATCCGGGCAGGCAGGTACTTACCATGCATGACTAGCAGGTACCTGATAAGCCTGGATGTCGCTGTAGCTGAACACCCAGCATTCACGTCGCTTTTCTGGCAGATCTGGATTTCCACATTTTGTTTTGCGTGCGTGTGCGTTGGGGAAGAGGATGTGTCAAACGATTTAAGGAGAGCAGTTTCTACGTATCTCATTCCCACCCGCCGTCGCGCAAGGCTTGGATGCACTTGATCTGCACCGCGATGGATATGACGACGGTGTCGAGGCCAGAAATACATGGGTGACCTAATCGCCGTTGGCCCTCGATACCGCCCACTCGATGACTCCGACCGAGAACGCTCCATCGCATTAGCCCGCGACTCCGCCGATAGGAACAGCTTCGATGGTGGTTTACTTACCATGCGGAAAGATGGATAAACGGGGCAGAACTTGTGCCGAAGGCTTGTTGGCGTAGCCCGTGGCCCTCGGCTCTCCAAGGATAAGTCGAACTTGACGAGGGTGAACTTTTCGGTGGCCACTTTGATGCCCCCCCTCTGATGGACCTGGCCACCGTCGACGCGGGTGATGCTAGTCGGAGGTCGCCAGCGTGGTTGCCGTCGGGAATCGACGCCATGTGCGACCCAGATTTGCCAGAAACTGCATCGCATCAGGGACAGCATCGGCCGCTGGCCTGGTGGCCCGATCTGCAGCCGTTTTTGGAGGCAGGCCCCGTATCTGGCGACGCGGCTGTGAGAGTATTCGTCGATTCGATCTAGCACCAGATGAGTACTTGCCCATTCCTGATTCAGATAAAGACCAGCATATCATATGGGCATTCCCTGGATGGGTCTGTCCTGCGCGCTGCGTCTGCCCAGATGACGCATGGTGCAACGCTCCCAGAGGGTGCCTGATCAACGTGCCCAGTAACATCGGTAATAATCGCCCTCGCGGCAAATGTGAGCCCCCTGAAGCGCGGGAGGCCGCGCGGAGCGTCGACGCAGAGGTCTGTGAATCGCGAAGGGAAGTTCGCCGAGGTAAAGGTGGGGCTCGGGGAAACCAGGCGCCCGCTGGATGCCAGGGCAAGTGGCGCTGTTAACGGAGAGAATTCATAGAGTTTGCCGCCGACGGCGAGCCCGACGAAGTCCAATGCTATGAGTGCTATGACTACCGCGACTACTTGCTACTGCTGCTATCACTGCGAATATTTTGTTCCACTGCGACTACTACTACTACTACTACTACTACTACTACTGCTATACTACTACTACTACTACTACTACTATACTACTACTACTACTACTACTACTACTACTACTACTACTACTACTATTACTACTACTACTACTACTACTACTACTACTACTAGGGCTGGCCTTATTCTGTTTGCCCAACTAATTGGAAGACAGGAAGGGTCGGTGGTGGGGATTCTGAGGGGGGAACCGCCGCGCCCAGAAAGCGCGCCATTGCCGCGCGAAAACCATGCGATTACCATGCGAAAGCCGTGCGCGTACCATGCGGAAGCCGTGCGATTGCCGCGCGCAAGCCGTGCGAAATCCATGCGGCATCCATGCGTGCGATTGCCGAGCGCAAGCCATGCGATTGCCGCGCGAAAGCTATGTGATTACCGTGCGAAAGCCATGCGATTACCATGCGACAGCCATGCGGTTACCATGCGAAAGCCGTGAGATTCCTATGCGCGAACCATAAGATTACCATGCGGAAGCCATTTTATTACCATGCGAAAGCCATGCGACAGCCGCGAGATTACCTTGCGAAAGCCATGCTACGACCATGAGATTACCATGCGAAAACCGTGCGAACAACCGGAGAAGTACCATGCGAAAACCATGGGATAACCCATGCGAAAACCATGCGATAGTCGTGCGAAAACCATGAGATTTACGAAACCAGAGTTCTACCGTGCGAAAACCATGCGACGCCATGAGAGTACCATGCGACATACCACGAGATTACAATTCGAAAACCATAAGGTTACCATGCGAAAGCCATGATATATACCATGCGAAAGCCATGCGCAAACCATGCGACAACCGTGCCATTGCCATGTGGCAGCCGTGAAATTACCGCGCGAAGCCATAATATAACCATGCGAAAGCTCCGCGGAAACAGTGCGATTAACATGCGAAACGAAAACCGTGCGATTGCCATGCGCAAGATTACCATGCGACAACCATGTGACAACCAATAACATTACCACGTGAAGACCATGAGATTACAATGTGGCAGCCATGCGACAACCGTGCGAAAACCATGCTATTACCATGCGACAGCCATAGGATGGCCAAACGAAAGCCATGCGACAACCATATGTTTACCCGGCGAAAACCGCAAGACTACCATGCGATTGCCTAACGGAAACTATGCGATTACCAAGTGGCAGCCATAAGATCACCGCGCGAAAGCCATGATATTGCCATGCGACAGCCATGCGAAAGCCATGCGAGTACCGGGCGAAACCCATGCGAGTACCATGCGAAAGCCACGCGGAAACGATGCGCTTACCATGCGAACGCCATGGGATTATTATGCGAAACCATGCGAACACCGTGCGGTAACCATGGGGTCACCATTCGACAGTCATGCGAAAACCGTGCGCTTTTTTGTGAGAGCCGCGACAGGCATAAGGCTACCAAGCGGCAGCCATGCGAAAACCATGAGGTTACCATGCGAACAGCAATGCGACAACTGTGGGAAACAATGAGATTGTCGTGCGAAAACTACGCGAACACCATTAGATAACCATGGGAAGGCCGTGCGAAATCCATGCGCGCGCCACAATATTGGCACGCGAAAGCCAGATAATTACCTTGCGAAAGCCATGCGGTTACCATGCGAAATCCACGCGACAACCATGGGCATACAACGCGAAACCCATGCGAGTGCCACGAGATCACCATGCGAAAACCAGATTACCCGGTAATAACCATGGGAGTACCATGCGAAAACCATGTGACAACCATGCGAAAGCCAATTATATTGCCGCGCGAGTGCCATGATATTACCGTGCGAAGATCATGGGGTTACCTTGCGGAAGCAATGCGAAAACCATGAGATTACCGTGCGACAGCCATGCGAGAAACCATGTTGTTACCGTGCGAACACCATGCGATTACCGCGCGAAAGCCGAAATATTTCCATGCGAAAACCATTCGAAATCAATGTGATTACTATGCGAAAGCCATGCGAGACCAGAATATTTTCATGCGAAGTCCATGCGAGCATCCTGCGAAAACCTTAAGATTACCACGCGGCAGCCTGCATATTGCCATGCGCACGCCGTGCGAAAACATGCGGTAGCCATGCGAAAACCATGCGACAACCATAAGATTACAAGGCGAAAGCCATAGGATTACCAGGCGAGAAACATAATATTACCATGCGAAAGACATGCGACAACCGGAATATTACCATGCGAAGGCCATGCGACAACCACACGAACACCATAGTACGGCCACGCGAAAGCCATGCGACACCATGAGCTACCGTGCGAGAGCCACGAGATTACCGTGCGAAAACCATTGAACTACCATGCGATAACCGTTGGATTACAATGCGAATTCCATAAGATTCCCATGCGGCAACCATAAGATTCACATAGGAAAGCCATATTAGCACCACAGCGAAAACCATGAGAGTACCATGCGAAAGCCACCAGAGCACCATCTGAAATGCATAAACCACATGAGAAAACCGTAAGAGTACCATATGAGAGCCACACGATTACCACGCGGCATCCTGGAGGCCTTCCTGAGCGTTCAGGACGCCCAAGAAGGCTCTCAGAAGCCCAAAAGTGCCCCATACCACCAGGAACCCAAAGGAATCCCAGAGGCTCCCTGGGGCAAACAGATTAAGGTCAACCCTGCTACTACTACTGTTACTGCTGCTACTACTACTGCTGCTACTACTATTACTACTACTGCTACCACCATCACTACTATTACTACTACTACTACTGCTGCTACTACTACTACTACTACTACTACTACTACCACTACTACTACTACTATTACGACTACTACTACTACTACTACTACTACTACTACTACTGCTGCTGCTGCTGCTGCTGCTGTTACTACTACTACTACTACTACTACTACTACTATCATTACTAATACCATTTCTATTTCTCCTACTGTTACAACTACTACGGCTACTATGGCTTTTACTACCACTATCACCACTGGTACTACTACGACGACTACTACTCCTGCTACGACGGCGACGACGACTGCTACTACTACTACCATTACTACTACTACTACTACTACTACTACTACTACTACTACTACTACTACTACTACTACTACTACTACTACTACTACTACTACTACTACTACTACTACTACTACTACTACTACTACTACTACTACTACTACTACTACTACTACTACTACTACTACCTACTACTTCCACCACTACGACGACGACGGCGACGACTACTATGATTAATAGCACTTCAATTTCTGCGACTATTATTTCTACGACAGCTACTTCTAGTGCTCCTACCAAAGTGCTTATTATTATGTTTACTGGTATAATTATTACTAGTCAGACTACGTTCCTCCTGGTACTACTGC